TCTCTCCCCGTGAGACAAGTCCTAGAAGATTACCCACGTGCTTCCTCAGACGTCATGACTAAAGACCCCTGCTCTGGGCACCTTTCCACACAAGGCTTCACTGGATCACACGGATCCCACACGCTGGCACCAATTTATTGTAACAGCCACCCTCAATCCTCAAAGAGTGGTTGCTACTTTACTTCAAAACTCTGCTGCCACCAACTTATCCTTAAAATCAAAATCATAAAAGGACAAGTGTAACTTTGAAAACAAATAATGGGTTTATTGATTACAAGAAATAAAAGTAGTAAATCACAGGTGTAAAATCAATTAATCAATCACTGTTTCTCAGACACTAGCTCTTACAGACTTTTCCTCACTGACAGGCTCTCTCTCTCACTCTTACTAACAATCACTTTTAAACTCTCATCTCAATCTATCTCTCAAAACTCCACTCTCAAACACCATACACCCCTTTATATCCCAGCTCCTCACCCTTTAGCACCACCTTCCGTCCCCTCATTGGCTGCTGTTCCACTGCCCAGCTGTGACGGATAGGTGAGGGCAGGGCTGAACGTTACAAGTGGGAGTTTTTAAAATGGGAAATTCTAAATGCACAACTACAAACAATTCCATGAAGAAGAAAAAGGGTGGGAGAGAGCACAGAAGACCAGTGTGACTTCACAAAAAGCTCAGAGAGGACCTGAGAACAAAAACAGACACATATAGGAAGTGGAAGGAAGGCCAGGCCACAAAGGAAGAGTATAGACAAGTACAAGGAATTGCAGGGATGGCATTAGAAGGGTAAAAGCTGAGAATGAGGCTAGCTAGAGACACAAAAAGCAACAAAATAGCATTTTTCAGGTAAAAAGAAACGAAATGAAACAATGATTCAGCTAGTCAGTGGTGAAGGAAAAGTGATAACAGATAACAGGGCAGAAGTGCTCTATTCCTGTTTTAGCTCAGTCTTATTCCAAAAGACAGACTATGACTCTCCAGACAATTGTGAAGTGTAAGTGGAGGGGACAAGATTGCAGCTGGAAACTGATAAACAAATAGCCAAGGAATAGCTTACCACCTTGAACTAAGGATCTGTCTGAAGAGCTCTCAGAAGTACTATCCATTATTTTTTTGAAATCATTGGATATGGATGAGGTGCCAGATGATTGGAGGAGAGGTAATATTGACCCTATCTTCAAAAAGGGCAAAAAGAAGAAAGCTGGGAACTACAGAGCAGTCTTGACATCAATTCCAGGGAAAATTCTGGAACAGATTAATAAGCGGTCAGTATCCTGAAGCTGAGTCTCCAATACTTTGGCCATCTCATGAGAAAAGAAGACTCCCTGGAAAAGATGCTGATGTTGGGAAAGTGTGAAGGCAGGAGGAGAAGGGGACGACAGAGGATGAGATGGTTGGACAGTGGCGTCGAAGCGACCAACATGAATTTGGCCCAACTCTGGGAGGGAGTGGAAGACAGGAGGGCCTGGCGTGCTCTGGTCCATGGGGGCATGAAGAGTCGGACATGACTAAATGACTAAATAACAAAATGCAAGCATTCTCGTATCTCATGACTAAAGTAAGGCTATTTTACTTAGAGTATATAAAATAAGAATAACTGGAAAATACATGTGATACATGTGCCCTTCAATCCAGTTGTTCTGGTCCAGATTTTTTTCAGAAATAGAATTATCATAGGGCAAAAACATAAAAAGTCATCAGATTCTGTTCTTCTATTAAAGCAACAGTGAATAACCAATTCATAAACAATTGATTATCTTTTTCTCTATGGCAGCATGTTTAGAAATTTTCAGATAATTTTCGCCTAACAAAAGGCAACATCAAGAGCATTTGGGTCAGACAGCATCAAATCTTCCATATTATAAGCTGAGGGCCATAGAGTACACTGTACTCTATGGCCCTCAGCTTATTAAGAAAGAGGTAGAAATCAAAGACTTAGGGGGTACATCATATTATTTGGACATGAAAAGAGACGCAGATGGATCATATTTGTTAAATTAGAAGCAAAATATACTTGAGCTTCTGGAGCCATTAAGCCCCTAATCATAGTGTTACAACACCCACACGAAGAGATTTTCTGAAATAGGAGGAGGCAAGTGAACTTGTACCAACAGTGAATATAGAACAGATCACATATAGCTACCACTGTGGCAGCAGAAAAGTTAGTTTACCAACAGATTGATTTGACAAGTGTAAAAAAGGTACATAGTTAGATATTTGAAAGGAACCACGGCCTTTAAATTAAGACTGCCAGGTATTAAAAAAAAAACAAAGCTTGTGCAGGCTGGTCAGAATGGGCAGAATATAGTACAGATTATAAATCTAATAGTAGTTTCCTGTTCCTGCATAGTGATGGTCCAATTTCATGGGCTAGTCACAGACATGTAGCTTTGCCATCCAAAGAGTCTGAATTCATTGATGCTGCTAAAGCAATACAGAGAACTGTTATGGATGGAGAAGCTGCTGAATGACTCTGAGATAATTGAAGAGATGCTGATCCAAGTGATGAAAGACAACCAGAGCTGCATCAAGATGTTGCACAGTGAAAACATGCATGCACACACCAAACCCATGTTAGAGATTTTAATGCTTGATAATTGCCCCAAGAAGCCTCCAGACATAGAGTTCTCTAGGGAAAAATCAGAAGCCTGTGTTCTCACAGCTGATATTTATCTCAGTTAAGGGTTTATCCCAGAATGAAACCGAACAATCAATCAATATTGATCTGATATTAAAATACAAGTCTTTTCATTGTTGCAATAATTCAGGCAACATCAGCTGGTCCAATTCTACAACCTTTATTTATCTACATTGTTTCTATATTCTGTATGTACAAAATTACTTCAGTTGTAGCATCCGAAAATCGTCAGTTTTGAAGAAAAATTGCAGGCACACATACTTAAAAATACAGTGGTGACTCGACTTATGAACGTCCCTACTTACAACCATTTTGAGTTATGACCAGCTCCAGTTGCAAAACTTTGCTTCTACTTTCAACCAGAGCTTCCACTTATGAACAGAAAAAGGCAGGGGGGAAAGGCAGGAAATTCAAATTTCTAACTGTAGGTGGTGATGAGCGTGCTGCTTTGTAGCTCTTTCGCCCAGACAGTTAGAGTGAGTATGATCAGAGGAGGCTGGGGACTGCCTGGCTTCTGCTTCTGAATGAGTGTGTGTGTGTTTGCAGGGAGGCTTGCCTGGTAAAGTAAGGTGCTGTTGTCTGCTTTTTAAAAACTGTTCTGGGTGTTTTTGCAGCGTGGGTTTGGGCTGGGGAGGGTTATGTTTCTGTGCTGTGATGGGTTGGGGGGGTTGTGTTCTTTTGGATTCCCCCCTCATTTCCTATGGGTCTTGGGGGTTTGGTTGCTTTTTGGATTCCCCCATTTCCAATGGGTCTCGTGGGGTTTCCTTGCTTTTTGGATCCCCCCCATTTCTGATGGGTCTTGGGGAGTTTGTTTGCTTTTAATCCCCCCCATTTCCAATCTTGCACGATCTGCTTGATTGCTTTTTGCTTTGTCTTGTTTGCATTTGCAATGGGTCTTGCACGCTTGATTGCTTTTCTCTCCCCCCCTTCGGCTGGAAGGGATTAATCGCGTTTTCGACTGGTCTTGCAGTGATTTTTTTGGTGATTTTTTTCTTCGACCAGAACACATTAATTGCATTTCAGTGCATTTATATGGGAAATGGTGCTTCGACTTACGACCATTTTGAGTTATGACCATCTTCCTGAATCAATTAAGTTCGTAAGTCAAGGCACCACTATATATGAAATCTGACCTAAAGTTACAGGCAAATAAGTCAAAAATATATTTCAGTTGTTAGTTTTTAGCTATAAAAAGTCCAAACAAGAACTTTAGTCATATCTGAATCAAAAATAAAGCTTATTTAAAAGACATTTAAAAAGCATATGAAAGAGTATACATCTCTTAGTAGTCAAATTGTTAAAATTAAAACATATATGAAAGTAAATATATTATTCAGCCTTATAGCATATTAAGAAAACACACAGAGAAAAACATTTGTAAAAGAGCTCACAAATCCAAGCCACATTAAAATCTGTGTAAAATTGATTATTTTTGTAGTACTACTTTTAAAAAATCTTTTCCACTCCTCTGATAGACATGTGCCTGGCATAAATTTCACTCCGTTTTGAAAGGAAGATCTGGCTCTCTGTTCTCAACTGCGTTTATATGTTTAGGTTTTATAATGATAGGAAATTGGACACTTCCTTTGCAGATAGAACTCCAAAACCTCGAGTTAAAATAAACAGGTAGGAGGGATCAGGAAAGTCCCTTCTCTGCCGGAGGTGATGCAGTGACAACAGGAAATAGTACCTTAGATGAACAGGTTGCAAAGGATTCTTTTTCAGAGTTCCCAGAATCCCACAGCGGTCTCACTAGCTGGGAACTCTTGAAATTTTAGTGGGGGGGAAAAAAAGAACAATGGTCCGACTAAAGCAGTTTCCTAAACACGTATTTTGTGATTGCAGAATTGTGCCTCAGATTTAAAATCCTTATCCACTTGAGACAATAAAGGAATGCAGTCACCTAATTTATTCAAGAGACTGCCAGAGTTCCTATCATAATCTGTAAAAATTTAACACATTGTACACGACTCGTTCAAGGCTCTAAACTAGTTACTAACTCCATCTCTGCTTTTCAGCTCCTCCTTTTCTCTCTCTCTTTTGCCAAGGAAGAAGAGAGACAAAGTATCATTGGTTGTAAGGTTTCTTGAACCGTGATTCGACTTCCAAAGGGGGAAGAGGACGGCAAGGCCACTCTGGCCCGCTATTTCTCTATGTCTTTCAGGCGCGCGCGCGCGCGGTCGGCCGTGATTGGGTGAACTATGTAGAAATACGGGGTTGAGTTCCGCCTTCCCCTCCTCGGCGGCTCTCGCTGGAAGGCGTCTGTGCAGAAGGGCGGGCCTTCTTGGGTGAGGCGGGTGTTCCGCGCGCTCTCATTCATTGTCCTTCGTTTCCTTACTTGCCTCCTACCTTTGCTGCTGCTTTTGCGGAGCTTCCTGGGCGGGAGGCCCCTCTGGAGGGGGAAAAAAATCTTTGTTTTGGGAGTTCGCCCGCGCAGGTGAGGGGAAAGAGCCATTTTATTTGTGGGTGGGGCGCCTCATCTTGAACGGGTGCCACAGAACAGCGCAGGGAAAGGGTGGCGTCGGCCTTCTTTTGCGCGAGGTTTGTGTCAACAACCCTTGGGAGGGGATCTCGCTGTTGTGGGGAAGAGGCAGCGAGGATAGGCAGCAAAGCTGGGAAAGGAAGGGGCCATGGGCCTCTCTGTGTATCCCGCGTCTCGTTCTTCCAGCCTTAAATGGGGGCATTTTTGGAGGGACACCCCCCCTCCCCCCGCACACCTGTTTGTAGAAGTTATGAGAACAGCAGTCTTCTCGAGATAATGTTTTGAAAGGGTTCCCTGTTACTCATTAATAGGAAAGCAGTCAGATCTCTTCCTCCTGGGTGTGAAGCCGCCCCCATCCCCGACTTGTCCGGAAGATACAGAAAGGCTCTTATTTTCTGTGCCAGAGAGATGGGGAGTTGTGGTCTGCGGAGATGTTATACCCTGCTCACTTCAGAAATGTTTAATTAGAATTCTTTGATTAGTGTAGATGAGAATTGATATAACTGTTTTCTTACTGTTTCAACAGTCACAACTCCTGGTGATAAATCTTAAGAAAGGATTTTCATATTGCATTTTCTAGTGCCTGATTTCAGTTCTTTCTTCAAACGGTGACACCTAAGTCTGGAAGGAATAATTTTATTGCTTAGAATGCCTGGAATATACAATCTTGGTTGCACCTGCCAGTTCTGTCTTTGTTAAGTGAACATTCTATCCTGTCTGATCCTTTCTTTGTATGTTAAGTTTGCATTTCATGCATGACTTGCTCTGAAAGTCTTGATTCAGAATACAGAGAACATGCTGTGAGATTTCATGTGGACAATGAAAAGTGCACCTGTTGAGCTTGGTGCTTGCTTCCCATTCAAGGAATGAACCTGCAGCTGATATTTTGTGTGGCATAAAGGAATACATTTATCTTCCTTGAGATTGATGGATGAAAAATCATCTAGGAGAATTGGGTTCTGGTACAAGCATTGCTTAACTACAAATGAAGCAATAGTTCATTATGTGAACTTCAGCATTATGCACATACCTTTTGTTCCTGGCTAAAAACAACTTCTTATGTTTTGGTGCTGTGTAGGTGCTGTCTAGGATCAGAACAAGTTTGTAAGAAGGTCATTATATAGTGCTAGCACTTGCTTTTTCAATAATGAAGCAAGAAAGCAGGCATATTAAAATTGTATCATGTGGGCTAGCTAGAAAGGAGCTATTTTAAAAAGCTGGAACTTCTCTCCTGGCCTTTATTTAGTAACTGTTACTAGAAAAGTATCAATTGTTTTGTGGATCATGAAAATCATTATATAGAAATAACTGAAATTTTAAAGTTGTGACAGTATCATGTCATTGCCCTAAATGCCTTCTCTGAGAATGTTGGTTTTGTTTCTTTGACTTCCTTGCCACAGTGTTGCCTGATGGCAGTACTCAAAATGCACGCAATACTTAATGTGTTAAGAGAAAACTGTGTCTTGCTTCACATATCTAGAAAACTATATAGAGGGCACTTACATTATTGAATCAATTTAATAGTTAAGAGGGACGTGGTGGCACTGCGGGTTAAACTGCAGAAGCCTCTGTGATGCTAGGTCAGAAAACCAGCAGTCGTAAGATCGACTCCACGTGACGGAGTGAGCTCCCGTCGCTTTGTCCCAGCTCCTTGCCAACCTAGCAGTTTGAAAGCATGCAAATGCGAGTAGATAAATAGGTACCACCTCAGTGGGAAGGTAAGTGTTCCGTGCCTCAGTCGCGCTGGCCACCTGACAACGGAAACTTTCTTTGGACAAACGCTGGCTCTACAGCTTGGAAATGGGGATGAGCACTGCCCCCTAGAGTCTGACTAGATGTCAAGGAGAACCTTTACCTTTAATAGTTAAAAAGTCCCTAATTTAAACTGTGGCTCTAACACAAACTTATTAGTTAGGCTTAAAGTTGCTGTTCCTCAATTTTATTATCTGCCTTCTCCTATCAGCAATGTGAGGATGATAATGTTTGCATAGCTGTTAAATTTAAATTAAAAACATGACACCTTTTGAACATTATCAAGCACATCTAGGTAAAATGTATCCCTTGGACTGCATAAGGTCCTCAAGCTTGTTTTCTCAGGCTTCATCGATTTCTTCCTCACAGTTCCCCTGATTCTATTTCTTTTGGTGAAAAAAAGTGAACTGTCGTTCCTCGAAACATAGAGTGATTTCATGATTCGTCATCTGAGTAGTTTAGTCCACTGGTTCTTAACCTTGGGTTACTCAGGAGTTTTTGACTGCAACTCCCAGAAGCCTTCACCACCAACTGTGCTGGCTGGGATTTCTGGGAGTTGCAGTTCAAAAACATTCGAGTAACAAAGGTTAAGAACCATTGGTTTAGTCTTCCCCACAGCTGTATTAAATGTTTATTTAAAAAAAACCCAAATTTTTCAAAATTGGAAGTTCTGTTTGTTTAGAATTTTGGATGGTTTCTTGGGCAGAAGATTGTCCACCAGACATGCAAAAGTTGCCCACCACTGTCCTATTTATGTAGTATCACAAATATTTATTCTGTATATAGATATTCTGTAAGGTAGTTTTTCCATAGCATATTTATCTTTGTGTTACATCGGTAAGGCCACTTGAGACATCCAAGCATGATAGCTAAAAATCAGTGGTTAGGATTTTTTTTCTTTAAAAAATCCTAATTGGATTTTTTTCCATTGTTGAATTTTTTGTTTGTTTCACCTTGGTTGTTTCAGCATCTTTCTGCAGTTTCTCTACAGTGCCTTTTTGACAGGGGCTGGACTTGATGATCCACAGGGACTCTCCAGCTGTCCTAATCTATTATTATTATTAATAATAATAAAATAACTTTAATTTAAAACAAGGATCTTATGAAGTAGCAATTATAAATTCTAATTCTTTAATATCAAGCAGAGGGCAGAATTCTGTTTACATAGCTATGCTGGTGTAAACCAGATCTGGGTGCTGGAACTTTTAGTAGCCAAAAAAAAAAAAAAGCTGCTTGTGGCAATCCAGTAGTTATATTTTACTAATAAAGTCTCCTCCTCATCCTGAGGTTCCCAAAGGCTTCAATACGGCAAAAGAAGGTCCAACAAGAAGGGAGGGGTAGGAGGCTTTCAGTTCATTGAAACTGATTTTTGGCAGCTGAATTTGGTTTATACTGGTGTAACTGTGTGAACAGAATTTTGGATAATTAAAAAAATAATTTCATAAATAGGGGAAAGCAATTCTTGGATTGGAACTTCAATTTTATGCAGTTTAGTATGCCTCTGTATAGGTTAGTTAGTTGACCGTTCTGTTTCCCCTAGTACTCAATCTATTAGCTGCCACCATATGTGTCTCATTTTGGACGTGTATGTTGAGAGATTGGAGTCATCTCCAAAGCTTGTGTTTCTGTCAACATGATATAATGCTGGAATTAAATTTTTGAAATCACCTTTTCTGAGTATTATAACTGGGTATCCCACGTAGTAACTTCTAATCCCCTCTATGTTACCAGTCATGTTACCTGGCATCTCTCTCAATAAAAACTGATCTGGAGTTTCAATTTCATTCAGTTGCTGTTTAGCCTCTGGTGGTTTCCCCTTCATCAGGCCTTCTATCTGTCTAAGTTTCACTACCATGGTAGTGAAACTTATCATTGCACAAAATCTCATAAGTTTTTGACACACAGTGCTTCTAAAGATGTTTCAGGTCACATGATCACTGGAAAGAAGTCATAGATGGATAAGCCAAAGAAAGCTGAATGATATCTGCTTATGAGTATTCTCAAGAAACTTGAAATTTCTTATTTGAATGTGTTTTATAGTAGGATAACTGAGGGGCTGTGATACCTTGGTTTCTACTGTCAGATGTTTGGTAGACTACATTACAGCCTCTCAATTTCTCACCTCTACCAGAAACCTTAGGCGAACCATTTGCCATTTAAATGTAACTGATGCACTCTGACTACTCAGAAATAGAAAATGACAAGCTGGTTACTTCCAGTTTCTAAAAAAGGCTAAGTCTGGATTTCATGAGGCCTGAAGACAAAATTACATTTAAATGGTATATTCCAGCCTTATAGATTCTGTGGTGAAAAAGCAGATGGAGTCAAGTGTTATCAGCATCCTGGCAATAGCGGACCAAAAAATTCTGGACAGCCTTTTTCAGGTTTTTCATGTATACAATATCATAATCTTTAGCTACCAAGGATTTAGAACAATAGCAGTTGTATTGCAGAGGGCATGACATTTTAATTAGATTTAATCTAGGACGAGGAATCTTAGATCCAGAATTTTAGAATGAGGCCAGTCACACTTGCCAGGTGACGGTTGGCAATCAACTATGCTCTCTTTTAGGGAAAACTAAAAACAAGCAAAAGAGGTAAGGTGCAGTGGAAGCCAGGGGACTTGGTGGCAGTGTCAGCAAGGTCAGAAATACTTTCTTTTACATCACTAAGCGTGTCAGCAAAATTGAGATTTGTAGTCAAGAATGATGAGAGAAATCTCAGTGTTTTTGTTTTTTATAGTTTCCCCCCAAATATTAACTGAATTTGGAATATGACAATAGCTTCATCTCACAAGCACTTTATTACGGTCAAAGACCAGTAAAACCAAATCAATATAAAATAGATACATATAATTATTGTTAAGTAAAGTCAGGCAAGGTAATAAAATTCCATTAAAACATGATAAAACAACCACTTGTTTCCAATTAATAACAGAATATATCCTTAATATAGGTAAAACATCAGGAAGTGTTATATTAAAAACATTATATTGTCCATCTAAAATCACCTACCCAAACATCTGTTTACGAATAACCATTGCTGCAGCATAGAATTTGGCCACTTGTCTTGTAATATAAGGGGTATTGTCAGAGAGTAGCCACTGCACATAATAGTTCTCTGATCTCCCAGGAGATTTACAGATAATAGGTGATAAAAGCTCCATGCAAATATCCGATAAAAGGTACAAAAAAGAAGAACAT